GTCAGCCGAGTCCGAGCCGTATCTGTATCCGGCGTGACTCTGATCTTGAACCAGATTGATCTGGATAATATTCTGAATGTTCTGATCCAATCTGACCTCTGACCTGATCATGATCACACACTGAGGAGAACTGAGTGCGAGTCTGGTTTCTCACGAGGGTTTTTCTCCATTCTGTCACTTTTCTCCAGGGCGGCTATACTGTATATACGGTATATATGAACTTTTTTTTAAATTAAACTAACTTTTTTACCACAAAAATTAAACATCATTGATGTTACTGAAGCTGGACTGTGACACGATTTTCTTCTAGAAACAAACTGTGTTGCTTTATTTTCCAGTTTTTCTTTGAAACGCTCTGCATCGTAAAAAGCGCAGTATAAATATAAATAAAGGTGACTCGACTCACTCACCGGTGTATGATGTGTTGGCTCTGCAGGTAGTCGAGCGCGAGTGTCATCTCACACAGGTAGAGCTTCACCGCGTCCTCGGTGAACGCCACATTCTGCTGGAGATGATAACGCAGGTCTCCCCCCAACAGCAGGTCCACCACCATGAACATGTCCTCCTCGTCTTGGAACGAGTACCTGAGCGCAGGGTCAGGGGTCAGAGGTCAGACAACAGGAAGTGACATCACACAGCGCACAATCCATGCAAACCGCTCTCCTGATCATCTGAACCGATGAGATCTACAGGTGTGTGTGAGAGAGTGTGTGTGTGTGTGTGTGTGTGTGTGCGTGTGTGTGATCATCCACATCAGAAGCTCTTTTATTGTCTTTCACAGAAATCTGATTGAGGTTTATTAATTTAAGTCGAGAAGGAGATTATCTGATTTGGACATTTTAATTAAAATGCCGGCACAGTTTAGATCACCCGTCAATCATCCCTCGGCAGATGTTAATCTGGGAGCGTCACACACACACACACACAGGAAACTGATAAACTGCCGTTTCTCTTCATCTGGCTCTGAGATCTAAAGATATTACAGTTATTATATTCAACTAGTTACAAATGCTATAAACATCACATAAACTGACAGACAGACATACTGATAAACTAATAAAAATGACAAAAACCCAAACTAAAATCATTTTTTATAAGGAATATACATGCATACTCTACTTAGTTCAGAAATGAAATAAAATATAAAGTGTAATTGTGTCTGTGTGAGTGTGTGACTGTGAATGAGAGTGTGTGCGTAAGTGTGTGTGTAGGACTCTCCACTTCAGAGCTCATTTCCTCTGTGAGAGAATCATCACATCTATTATAATCTCAGTCGCTCACACTCTCTCATTCACTGCTGACACACACACACACACACACACCGGCAGACGGAGGATCATATCAGAGATCAGAGGTGAAGAGAGACAGGAGACTCATGAAGATCAGAACCAGATATACGTAGTGCAACATTACACACACACACCGTTTGTTCAGGTCGGCTCAGAGAGTGATGCATAACCACACACACTGACATCCAAGTAGAATAAAATAGTCCAAGTGACTACAGGGGCTCAATCTTAACTTTATCAAACGACGAGAACACTTTTGTGTGCAAAAAACAACAAAATAACGACTTTATTTCAACTATTGGTTTATTTCTCCGTCTGCGCGAGTCAGGTTACTAGTTTAAAGGACAACTCCGGCGCAAAATGAACCTTTGGTCTAATTACACATTGTTACCTAGTCAACCGTTATCTGAGATTTGTTTTCATGATTGCCGAATGTAAATAGTTTTATCTCTAAAAACAGTTTAGCCTATAACGCTAGTATAATGCTAGTATATAGGCCATAGAGTAATGACACATAAAAATCGCTTGTTATTACCACTAAAAAGGCTCAAAATATCCCCACACCAAAACGACAGCATAAAAAGAGTCCCTACATTCAAACCGAAGCATTGAGAACTTTGTCAGTGTCCATACAGTTTAATAAGCAGATGTTTTATACACACAGTAAATTTCGCGAATTCAGGAAGAAGCCATCTTGGAAAAATAGTCTCTACAAGTCGATCTACGAACGCCGATCCAAGTGCGCTGGTGAGATGTGAATAAGGTGATAAGGTGAGCGCGAACAGTAGGCTACATGTACATATTGAAGAGAAGTAAACGGTTTGTGTTTTGTGTTTCTTCTGGAAACAACGGATCATATGAGATTCTGCACAGTGCAGCGCACTTGGATCGGCGTTCGTAGATCGACTGGTAGAGACTATTTTTCAAAGATGGCTTCTTCCTGTATTCGTGAAATTTACTGTGTGTATAAAATATCTTCTTATTAAACTGTGTGGACACTGACAAAGTTCTCAACGCTTCGGTTTGAATGTAGGGACCCTTGTTATGCTGTCGTTTTGGTATGGGGCTATTTTGAGCCTTGTTAGTGGTAATAACAAGCGATTTTTATTTGTCATTACTCTATGCCCTATATATACTAGCATTGAACTAGCGTTATAGGCTAAACTGTTTTTAGAGATAAAACTATTTACATTCGGCAATCATGAAAACAAATCTCAGATAACGGTTGACTAGGTAACAATGTGTAATTAGACCAAAGGTTCATTTTGCGCCGGAGTTGTCCTTTAATAGCGTAAGCTTCTGTTATTGTACGTCACACGCATCACACACATGACCAGCGTCGGCCAATAGTGAGCCTTCGTGTGACGTAGCTTTACGCAATCACACTACGTTAACTGACTACAGGCCCATGGAGAAGGAAGTGAATAGTTGAAATAAAGTCGTTATTTTTGTTTGTTCTCGTCGTTTGATAAAGTTAAGATTGAGCCACTGCAGTCACTTGGACTATTTTAACGATGTCTTTAATGACTTTTCGAGTCATTCCCTCAAGAAGCCTATGGACTAGTATGCAGGAGCGATCTTAATATCTTAAATATCTTAATTTGTGTTGCAAAGATGAACGAAGGTCTTACGGGGTTGGAACAACATGAGGGTGAGTAAATACTGACAGAATTTTCATTTTTAGGTGAACTAACCCTTTAACATGCGGGTCTATGAGTCTCGTCTGCAGCCGGTCTCTAGTGGCCAGTCGAAGAATTGCAGTTTAAGGTCGCCGCTTGATCTTAACACTGAGAACACGATCACTTTAGAGACATGACATGTTAATGATCAGTTGTTTTCTAAAGCCTCCACAGATCTTGCGTTCGGACGCAGGGTGACAATAGTTGAGAAGTGTGTTAATGCGGGAGTGTGTTGTTGGAGAACGGCCGTCCTGGAGCTCAGAGGGAGCAGGAACGAGTCCGAGAGGATGAAATAATCAGGCCATGATGACAAATGAGTCGAGGGATGCAGAGAGGAGTGTTTGAGGAGAGGACAACATTTCGGCAAAAATTCGCAGTGTCCCAGATAAAACTGGAGCTCGTCTCGGCATCACGAGCAACTGGTAACACACACACACACACACACACACATTCATTCGAATTCATTCAGACGATTTTCTGATATTTAGAAGAATATCAGTAACCAGACAGTTTCTGGTCTCATTGACTTCCAGAGTAGGAAAAATATACTATTACTATAATGTCAATGAGGCCAGAAACGGTCTGGTTACTGATATTCTTCTAAATATTAGAAAATCATCTGAAGTTGAAATGATATTTGTACTCGTTGTGAATACACAGGCCACAAGAAGTAATCAGGTTTGTTTAGTTTAATCACTTTTACTCACGACATGCTACTTAGCAACATAAGGATTCCATTCATTATGCTAAGCTAAGCTAGCGTCGCACTGCCAAACTAAGATCATGCGTGCACTTTGAAAAAAATGATTTTGCCAAACTATTTTAATGTGAATAAGCCCTCAGTTCATTTATATATACGGCCGCTCTGGAGAAAACCGTGATCAGTTCAGTGCTCATATAATGCTGTCAGTGCAGGCAGAGCAAAAATACTGTTGTAATATTAAATGTCCCCAACACTCCCTCCACACACACACACACACACACACACACATCACGCTTCATTCCTCGGTGGATTCTTCCTGAAAGTGTCCCTCCGCACCAACTGGCCTTATTTTCTCAAGGTGCTTCATGAGGAACGTCCCGAATGAACTTCACAAGTTTCCTGACAGGGAAGCGGAGGAAAGTTTCAGAGAGAGACAGAGACGCTCGACCGGGTCAGGGTTCGCTTTCTAACGTTCTTCATAATATCTTCTTTTGCAGACAAACTTTGGCCATGCAGGTTTGAACGACATTAGTGCGAGTAAATGATGACAGAATTATCTATTTTGAGAGAACTGTCACTTTAAGTAGCAGCTTTTCTCTCAATCTTACCACTATAGAGAAATATAATAACTCATCCAAAACTCAGACGTTTCAACTTCATTCAAATGAAGACGAATCAAATACAGATGCTGATGGAAGGCATCCATCCATC